GCTTTGACGTCGTGGATATTGAATGAGTGCAAATTGTCTTACAAAATTGTGAAAAACTGCAGAATGATAGGGCAAAAAAAGAACAAATTCTGTCCAAGGTCTGTATGATAAAAAAGGGCCTCATAGTACTGTTTACCGGAGACGTGTTGAGAAAAAGTATGTTTAAAAGGCTGGTTTACACGCCACCAGATTTACTTGTAAACTAAACTTGTCGAACACAAAAAATCCGGCCTGATTTTTTATTTTGGCCTCCCTTTTAGACAGATGAATGCAACGTGTCAATTGGCTGCCACCAAGGACTATCGTGGCTCGTGTGGTTCTTAAAATTATATTTCGGGGTTGTCCAATTATCCATAGTCTCTCTAACGGAACATTGTTGGAGAGACTGGTGAATGCGACATTATGATGCAACAGCTAATGCAAATGCAATACACGAATAGGTCTATTTGTTTTCCAGGCCCAATCTACTGTGATCGAACATGATTGCTATTTTTGGGTGTACAAATAAGACTATTAACGCGATGTAAAATTTGTTTCACTCTTGGACTGTCAAATTATTTTTCTCTAAAATCACTTAGCCTTAATTTGCCTCAAAAGTCACATGAATGTGCCCTATCTGTGGATTACAAGTTTATTGTTTGATTTAAATTATGAATTTATTAACGGGAGCTTCGCTTTTAGCCCTGGCTAAATCTATATATTAAAAGTTAATCGATATGACAATCGAGGAAAAATATCTAGAACTTCGTGAAAAATCTGGGAATGGAAAAAATAATAGATACTTGTTAACCTACCTTGAAAACCGACCAAAATCTCGCCTATACATCGCGTTGTTTAAAAGATAAAAGAAGAAATAAGCCACAAAATGTGCTGAATATTTCACGAGACACTTCCAATATGGCTTCCGATACGCTGTCCACTTAAAAAAATTGTGTATGCCTCATGAAAAGTCTTAAAAATATGCCTGAGAGCCTCGAAACGATGACTGATTCTGTCCGACTCCGTCCGTTGTTTTGAAAATTTTTGATCACTGGGGCGATGTTTTGATTTGTTTGTTGATAAACACAAGCGCGCCTTCTCATTGGTTGAAAAGTGTCGCGTGACCAGGTGGCCCTGTCCTTAAATTTAGGGATATCCCTGACTGGTAATTCCACGAAATTCGCAAAGAAAAAAGCAAAACTCTGCGACATCTGCCGTACATATCGGTGACACGGCATGGCATATAAGTCCAGCGCTTTTTACCTTTTTAACTGTGATGAAACTTATAATTTAGAGACAGTGGAAACGTTTTTGCTTCAAGTAGAAGAGAAATATGGCTTCAAAATTACAGTCGATCGTCGTTGTTTTAGTCTAGAACAAATGACTGATTTGTGCGAGAAAACTTTACCTCAACTCGTAATGGATTTTGCCGTCTTTGTTATTCATGCAGGTGAATCTCGTCTCTCCATCAACGAGGAACACGCTGGTATCAGTTACACCAAAATCTACAGAGCTTTGCTTGAGAAAACAGGTGGGTTTCTGATGAGTACACTCGCCACTGAGCCTTCTACCGATTCAGTCGTAGTTGCGTAAATTAATGTAACTCATCTTCCACTTTATAATAAAAAGTGATGCACGACAATGCCCACTATGGTTAAGGCATAATTATCGAAACCAGAAAACACACTATTAGAACCTCACATGCTCAGAAAGCCGGAAGTGGATAGGAAGTGCTGTGGGCATTTACGGCAGTGTGAAGTGGCAGTACTGACACGGATCATGCAGACAGTGTATACGCTGTAAATATTTTTATCCAGACAGAAAAATTGTTTAAATCCAGTGTTTATAATATAATATTGAAGTGGGTGATAATCAATCAGTAAATGAAGCATTAGATAGAAAACCTCCAGAGCACTTTCGATTTCGAAAGATTACGCCGAGGTCATCCCCTAAGCGACAGTGCAATAATTATCAGGAGGTGGGGCTGAAAAACTAGAGAGGGGGGGGCATTACATAAAATTGCTGCCAAGATAGGGGGCTCAAAGTAAAATCACTTATTTGACGGAGGGGGTGCCTTAAGTTTTATTCGGAATGTAAATAAAATTAAACGCAATAAAAGATTCTCAATACAGGCATCATGATAGACGGTAACAAATATCAATACAAACAGCTGTTAAACGATTATTGAAAATATTCTATCAAAATGAAAAGCAAATTCACCCGTCTTCTAATTAATTGAGCTGATCCTATGTAAAGCAAAAATCATGAACTTGTTTTTCACCTTCCCCCATAAAACAATGGGAATCAAACAGATCTCGTAGACAAGCTTTGTCGGTTTTTGATGTGAATAAAAGTAATGTTTCTTCATCGACTGAATCGATTTGCTGAATTCCATATATACCTGTCTTATAACAAAGTTCAACAGGCTCTCCTCCCAAGGATCTAAATATAATGCAAGCTCTTTTTCGTCTGTTATTTGAAACGTTCAATCTCCTGTTCTTTGATTTTTTTCTCTGCTCCTTTCTCTTTCTGGCTTCAGAAGTTTTAGATTTTGAGGCAATGTGGTAAGCACCCCGGTACTTAGCAAATGCTTTGTCTAAATCTTCAAATATCAAGTGATCAACATCCTTCTCGATACTAGATGTTACATAATAACGTTTGTCATTATTGAAGCTGTGATGGCAGCTCAGTCCAGTTTTGAGCTTACCAGTGCGACGTTATTTTTAACATAACAGAGGGCGGTTAGAACTATTTTTTTTGGTTTTGGAGGGGGGGTACTGTCTAAGTTTTTGCTAGATACCTCTAGTTTTTCAGCCTCCCCCCGCCTCCTGATAATTATTGCACTGTCCAAAATGCTGAATGTTGCGCGAAAAAGAGCCGGGGAAGAATTTCGGGGAAAATTTGTCAGGTGACAGTATTTCTTCAGAGCATTTAACCCATACCGAAATTAAAGCGGAAGTGTTTTAAAGTACATTCAAAAAATTGATCGACTTAAATTCCCCCGCTCCCACTTCCAATAATATGCTTCTTCGTTTATAATACTCTGAGTTAAAAATCCTTCCCAAATTAATTACTGCGAAAAATAGAAGACCCGAGAATTTTGGAATTTTACAGATTTTGTCACTATTAAAGGTAAAAGAAAAAGTCTGCGTTTTAACCAAGTGGCTCATCAGGCCGGCAGATTTGATTTCTGTAGCATTAAGCACGTAGTACATGTACTCACCTCAACAGGATAACAGCCCATTGCAGGGCTTGCCTCCCATACAGACGTTCTTAGGGCCGCAAGAAACCTAACGAAAGGCTTACCCCAATATGAAATTGGCCAGTACTTATCTATACACCACGGTGGAGTAAGGCATGAGACTTGTGGGTGTCTTAATACAATACACAATACAACCCTTCAAAGTTTGATACCACGTCCAAACCACTAACCCTTGAGCAGCCGGCGTATCAAAACGCTACAAACTGCTCGATAATACAAGGTTTCTGCGGCTTTTTTCAGGTGGCAAAGTGTTGATCGTGGTGGGCGGAGACAGTCACTACCAAAATGAAGACGAAGAAGCGCGGTCTGTCATCTCGCGCTGGGCAAAAAGAAAGCTGGCTTCGCAATTTTGTGAAGAGTATCTGGACGGAAGTCAAAGCTTTATCTTCTCTTGGAATACAAAACACCGACCAATTCACGAGCAAGCGATGCGGCATTTTCTTGATCCCAGCAAAAGGGGATTCAAATTTGAATACACACCTCCAAGGCCCTTTAACAAAGTACTTGTGTTTCCTCGACCAGCAGCACCTTATCCGAGACGAGAGGTAGGACTTACATCTCTTCATCACATACCGCCGAGTCTCTTCTCTGTGTTGAAGAAGCTGTCCAAAGTCCTCATCACTAGAAATTTCTTTCTCATAACTGCTGACTTGAACGAGAGAGAGGTTTATGACACAATCGATGACACAAAACGTAGGAAACCATACCAAAACTCAAAAAGTTCTTCTCTAATTCATTTTAGTTCTCCCTTACGTGTAAGTTGAGGATAGAGGATCGAAACGCACTGATTACATTACGAGTCTTCATAGCCAATAACATCACGGCTTAACTGACAGACGACCAATAACATCGCGACGTAATTGGCCAATCAGATCAATAACCAGAGTACAATACCATCAACTGACGTGATATAACTCACTTTGACTCTGAAGATGACTACCCGCATAGCTTGTCGAAACGTCAGTCACTGTCAACAACAACAGTCCTATTCAGGCAGGACTACGTTCACCCGGACGATCAAACTCAACCTACTTTTGAAATGACTCCTGGGTTTAACAGTACATAGCAACAGATTTCATGTGAATTGAGAAATGATCATATGCGAAAAAAGCTCTCCATAGATTCTCCGAGGTGAATTTGTGTTGAGATCAGTCTGGAGAATTTGAATACATCAGTAAGAGCTTAAGTGGTTAAAAGTGCTTGCCCTTCAGTTGTGTTTGATTTCGCGGCACGAAGACTAGATTGAAGCACGGATAGTGCTCTCTGTTTCTTAAGTCGCCTTATTTAACTGTTTTGGCAGCATTACTTTGGGAGAGGCATTAAAGCAATTTTTTCATGCCCCAAAAAGTTGAGCGAGTAGCAAAACACATGAAGGGACTTATTTAAAAGAAAACTTAAACAAGTGCAACGAGGATTATTTTGTGTTTAATCTCATTTCCGTCCCCTTTGTAACAGGTATTAGTATGTATTAGAGCTATTGAGCTGTTATTTACAGATCCTGAATTATGCAGTTAAAATTGTGTGTTGCATTTGTGCGCAAGCCATGCTAATTGTAATGATAATCAGGGGAAGACAACCTTAAAATCTAGGGATAAATCTCTATCCAGTTGATAGTACAATTGCTTTCCCTAGTACTTATCCACTGGATAGAGATTTATTCGATGACTAGCGCTATCCAGCTTTGTAAAACTTGGGCCAGCGTTTTTTCCCGTAATTTTTAGTCTCCTAGTATTTTTTTTCTTTGTTTATCTCACCAACAGGTTGAAATCATGAACGAATTGGAAGAAAAATCTAATGAAAGCTGGGCTTCAAAAGTGGTGGATTATAAGAAACAACAGGGGGGTAAGTATGGAAGGTTACATGGCGTCCTGTCGTAGGTCCGAAAATAGAGACTGATGCCTATGAGATTTGGTTAGCATTAGAAATCATCGAGTGAAGCCAGATTGGACACCTTATGAATTTAGCCTAACGCATTATTTTCATAACGGAACGAGACTGGAATGTAGAATAGCTGAAGAAACCAAAACTACAGAGCGTCAGTTATGGAGAGAACACACGAGAGGGTTAAACACTGAACTGAAAGCAGTTAGCTTTAAAAATTTGCAACGGGGTACGGCATAAGAACATGAATATTTTAAAAATTACTGGATTTGGCAGCTAGTCCTCGATGGTGTAGTGGATATGGATATAGACTGTAAAGCAAATGACGCGGGCTCAAAGAATTACACTGGTGTTTTTCTATCTTATTTTAGGGACTGTGCAATAATTATCAGGAGGAGGGGGGGGGCTGAAAAACTAGAGTTATCTAGCAAAAACTTAGACAGTACCCCCCCAAAACAAAAAAAAAATTAGTTCTAACCCCCTCTGTTATGTTAAAAATAACATCGCCCCCCTCTCTCTCTCCCACCACACTGGTAAACTCAAAACTGGACTGAGCTGCCATCACAGCTTCAATAATGACAAACGTTATTATGTAACACCTAGTATCGAGAAGGATGTTGATCGCTTGATTGAAGATTTAGACAAAGCATTTGCTAAGTACCGGGGTGCTTACCACATTGTCTCAAAATCTAAAACTTCTAAAGCCAGAAAGAGAAAGGAGCAGAGAAAAAAAATCAAAGAACAGGAGATTGAATGCTTCAAATAACAGACGAAAAAGAGCTTGCATTATATTTAGATCCTTGGGAGGAGAGCCTGTTGAACTTTGTTATGAACCAGATATATATGGAATTCAGCAAATCGATTCAGTCGATGAAGAAACATTACTTTTATTCACATCAAAAACCGACAAAGCTTGTCTACGAGATCTGTTTGATTCCCATTGTTTTATGGGGGAAGGTGAAAAACAAGTTCATGATTTTTGCTTTACATAGGATCAGCTCAATTAATTAGAAGACGGGTTAAAATTGATCAGTTGTGAATTTGCTTTTCATTTTGATGGAATATTTTCAATAATCGTTTAACAGCTGTTCGTATTGAAATTTGTTACAGTCTATCATGATGCCTGTATTAAGAATCTTTTATTGCGTTTAATTTTATTTACATTCCGAATAAAACTTGAGGTACCCCCTTCGTCAAATAAGTGATTTTACTTTGAGCCCCGCCTATCTTGGCAGCAATTTTATGTAATGCCCCCCCCTCCAGTTTTTCAGCCCCCCCTCCTGATAATTATTGCACAGTCCCTTATATCACGCAGTTAAGTTGGACTTAAGTTGTTCTTTACGTAATTTTACTGAAAGAAACAATTTGACTTCAGCCCATGTTACCTAATGCTAACCATGAGATTTAGGTACAAGATTAGGTAAACTGCTCTGGCTTTTAACTGTCTCGGAGAGCTGTACGTCCAATAAGGGATCTTCTCATTGAGTACAGAGATATGTCTTAGGGATCTATCTTCCACAAACCCTCTCGATGTAAAATGTAATAGCCTCCTTTTCTTTTTGTGTCTTCTGAAGGGTCGCACTTGAATTACCCAGAAGGCACCGTACTGCTAGACACTAGGCTTCGTTATGGGGTGCTGTCATATGACGTTGATGATCTGCAAAAAATGGAGGAAAACTGGTACCCACCTCACGAAATACTCCAATCTCTTCAAAAACAATACAAGTCAACACCCGAAGCACAAGTGCAATTTGTATTTCGTCAAAATGGGCTTACTCAGCACGTTAATATCTTAAGGTATCCTCTGTGGAAGTTTTGGAAATGGCATGCAGTGCACATTATTTTAAGCGGAAATGGAGAGTCGTTAACCTGGCCACGGCTTTGCAATAATTAGAGACCTGTTGGTTTTTTGCAGTTGGTCAGGTTACTTTCAACAAGTTGAAAATGTTATTAATGCTTTTGCATTGTATCGTCAAAATTATGAACAATAATATCAGTCATGCCCAGTCGACTCTCTGTTAACGGACACCTCTGTAACGCGGATACCTCGGTAAATAGGACCCCCAGAGTTGGTCCCTGGCTTTTTTAAAACTCCTTTAGCTTACTCTCTATACAGGGTGTCCAAAAAGTTTGTTCCTCTACTTTATAAGTCGTTATAAAATAACTAAGATAGTACGCGCGCTCTGATTGGCCGAGAGGCGTGTTTGCAAGACTGTAAACATGGTTGTGACCTCGAGATGTTTTGCTGTGCGTGCGGTAATCACACAAGCACGATTTTGAAAAAGGTTTTGAGTTGAAAAACTCGACAAGTTTACTCTATTTACCCATTTTATCGTCGGCTAAAACTTGGAAAATCTTTAGAAACATGCTGTGTCAATTTTTTTTCGCTTGAGCCGCTAAGACAGTGAACAAGTGATCTATTTCAGCTTGTGAATATTCCTCCTTTCTAAGGGTCCTTAAAACATGGAGACATTTGTTTGTTTTAATTAATTTGAGATTAATATGCGCCAGAAACTTACAAAGTAATACTCTGGATCGTAAACCCCCATTAAAACAAGACTACTGCATTGAGAAATGTCAAATACGGGGTTATATTGAGAATTGTTGCCTTTACTTCTGAAGATCAGTCCTTTACATTTTTCGGATTGCAAGGCATATTGTTCTCTTTAGACCATGTCATGAATTGTCCCACAAGGTTAGCAGACGGATCAAATTGATTTATTTACTAACAGGAGACACTATTGTAGAGTCATCAGCATATTTAAATAGAGCAGGAGCCTTGTTATAAGAAATCTCTAGGTCATTCAAAAATATTTTAAATGGATGAGGCCCGCTAAAACTTCCTTGGGTAGTTCTCTTGTTAACGACCTTCCAGTTACAGAGGTGATCAGTGATTATAGAAAATTCGCTGTTGCCTAGCAAACAAGAAGCTATGGTACCAATTAACGATGTAAGGATTTAGGGAAGCTGCTTAAGTTTAGCTGATAATTTGCCATGATTTATGTAATCAAACGCTTTGCTTAAGTCCATTGTAAACAAAGGAACTGCATTAGAGTCGCTGTCGTCTAGGTGTCTATATACATGGTGTTGAATAGCTAATAGTGAACTTAAGCAAAGACGTTTTTGAGCGACGCACGTCAACCGGAAGTGGTTTTTTTCATTTTTGGACAGTGGTTTTGCCCATTTTTTAGGACAACTTGTCTCTATAATAGTTAAGACACTTAGAAATACAAATTTGGGAGCGTCAAGGTGCTTTAACATGAAAAAGACCTCACTTCCGGTTGACTTGCGTCGCTCAAAAACGCCGTTGCTTAAGCTCCCTAATAAGGCGTTTGTGCAGTTACCCCCTTGCCTGTGTGCAAATTGGCTGGGGCTACGGCTCTTTTCTTCAACCGCTTTGACATGATTGTAGTAGACAACTTTTTCGAATGTTCTTACGAACACGGAAGTGACGTTGATGCCTCGGTTGTCAGGCGGATGATGTTCGCCCTCTTCCGAGAGTCCGGCCAGGTATGAGTTAACAGCGACAAATTCCAGACTTGGGTTATAACCAGCGTTAATAGTTAGGCAAAATTCGGCATAATAAAAAACTTAACCACTGACTAACGCAATAACTTTGCGACCATTAATGTAAAGAACTCAGAGAGAACAGTTCATTGGCTATTTAGAATTATTAGGATTTTTAAAAAATCATACGACCTCCTGCTTTGATGTCAGGCATTGCTGTTTCAACGAAATAAGTCGTTTAGGACTTGTTCTATACCAAAGATTTGATTGCCAAAGGCACAGTGGCTCAAAAATGCTGCAAACGTTAACTCTCGTGGGGAAGTTTTAACAGCCGGTCTGAAAGTGACAATGTTGAGTGACCGTGTAAACAGGGGAGACTCTATCCCTACAGTTCTCTACATAGCAGGGCTCTGCCCAAAAGGGGCGCTAAACATTTTTTTACACTGAAGTCATATGCATGAGATGGATACCTTTTCTTCATAAAAATGGTAGAATAAGAAAGTAAGGGGATTACGTTTTCAAAGAAATTGTGGTGTTGTGTCATTCGGGGGGAATGATTTAAAAATTAAGGATTTTGAACTCAGGGCAAAGCCTCCTCAGGGACAGCAAGCACAAGCATTAACGGTCTCTGATTCGCTAGTTTATCATGCATTTGCACACCACCGGATTTACAACCCCGATACAAATACAACATAGCCTTCCTCAAGTAGTAGCGGAGACCCATAGCTAAGTAAATCTACCCATCCCAGAAAATTTGGCAATCACGTGACCGTACACTAAGCGAGCGAACGAGCGACCGTCCGGTTTTCTCTCTTTTTAAAGGTTTACCAAGGATGCGGACTCCAGCGAAGCGGCCCAACGAATCCACCGAAGGAAAACGGCCGTAAATTGGCTCCAACCGAGAGCGAATCATAGGTCGCCAATCTCTGGAACGTTTCCTGTCTGAAACCATCGACAGAACCTTGGTTTGAACTCCGCGTTGCCGTTGAAAGATAGCGACACGGCCTGAGACTCAAATTACTCACAGTCGGGGTGGGAGACAGTCTCTTGCTCCCGTTGACATAAATACCCAAGGAGAAAGAAAACAACAATTGACCTTGAATCTTGGACTTCGCTCACACGGTTTTTCTTCTGAGCTCCCAGCCACGAAGAAAACAGTGAGGAATTTCTCCAGGGCAAATTTGCTAAATTTGTCGCTCGATCATTTGACTTTTCTTCAAAACGACAACTGTGCATTTTCGTCAACCTCCACTTTTCATCTGTATATTTTATCGGTGCGCGTTAAACCGCACAGGACTGGAGATTTGCTGAATTTGCCTCAATTTTGACAAATTTACCACGCTAGCTTTTCTTTGCGTGCACCAACGGCAAATGGTAGATGGCTGACTGACCAATCAGAGCACGCGCTTTACTTTTGTTATGTTATAAATAAACCTTGTATGCTGTAGTTTTTGTTTATTCTTACGTATGCTTTCTGCCTCAAATACGTGAATTTAGAGTTCTCTTTTTTCTTTTTTGTGCCACTAAGACATACTCTTCTCCTCTCTTAGGCGACTTTGAGTGATTAATTTCCTTGTCTCAAACCCTTACAGAAAAAATGCAAGATCTACGAGCAGCAAGCGTATACAAACTCCTATATCAAGGCCATTAAGAGAAGTACAGCAGCACGAACGAGATTTAGAGAGGCAGCTCCAAGAGATGCGGCAACGCGAAGAAAATTTACAAAGGCAGTTGAGGGAGTTTGAGCAGAACTCGCAAAGACAGCACAGGGAGTTGCAGCAACGGGAAGGAAACCTTCAAAGGCAACTAAGGGAGACACAGCAACGCGAAGGAAACCTTCAAAGGCAACTAAGGGAGATGCAGCAACGTGAAGACAACTCGCAAAGACAGCACAGGGAGATGCAGCAACGCGAAGGAAGCCTTCAAAGGCAGCTGAGGGAGACACAGCATCGTGAAGAAAACTCAAAAAGGCAGCTCAGAGAGATACAGCAACGTGAAGAAAATTTGCAAAGACAGTTGAGAGAAAAAGACCAGGAAGTAAATGAACTAGAGTTAAGTCTTTCATTAGCACAGCAAAGAATAAGTGAACATCGACGACAGGAAACATGCGACTGGGTTATTTCCCGTAATGAAATTCAGATGACAGAGAATAGCTTAGGGAGGGGAGGTTGGGGAAGTGTCAATGAAGGCATCTTCTGTGGCTGCACTGTGGCAGTGAAGCAAATCCATGACCTGATTCTATCCCGCCATAACAGGCTTTTATTTGAAAGAGAAATGAATATTGCTTCAGCTTGCCGCCATCCCTGTTTGCTACTGTTTATTGGCGCCACAAATGATGAAGGAAGTCCGCTATTTGTGACAGAGCTCATGGAGAAAAGTTTGCGAGCTTTGTTTGAAGAGCGGTCGCTTTCCGAAACAGAAATACGCGTCATTTCTCTCGATGTGGCTCGTGCTCTTAACTATCTTCATCAGAAGAAACCATCACCAATCATTCACCGGGACGTCAGCAGTGCTAATGTGTTGCTATGGCGACAGGGCGACCAATGGAGAGGCAAAGTGTCATATTATGGCACTGCTAATTTTATGCAGCAGACCATGACAGTGGCTCCTGGAGCTTCGATTTACTGTGCACCTGAAGCACTTTCGTCAAATCAGACTACTAAGGTTGGTAATCGTTGGTTTCAGATTTGAGTACTGCACGACGATATCGCAGAAGCACAATTTGGTAGTCTTGGTTTATTATTGATTATACAAATTCAAATCAGTTTGGAACTTTTACTTTTACTCGGTCCTTTGGACAAAATTTTATCTCCGCGTAAAAAAGGAAAATAGGCTGATGCATTTGCGTGAGGGAGATGTCCCAGAAAAAAAAAAAAAAAAAAAAAAACCTTGGTTTGCATATATCATCAAACCAGGGGTACTTATAAAATCACCAGTGTTGTTAGGATTGAATCGACCTAGTGTTATTTTCACGAGCGCTTGATTTTCATTTAGAACAGAGTAAAGCTAATTACCATTGAGACAACAAAAGTACTCATTATCTATCGTTCCTTTTTAGGTCGACGTTTACAGCTTTGGTGTTCTGTTATGCGAAATGTGTATCGGGGAACTTCCAGATCCTGAAAGGCGTGACGAGCAAGTTCTTCTTGTGTCGAACCGTGCTTTAAGAGGCCTGGTACGGCGATGCCTGCAGACCGATCTTGAAGCGAGACCAACCATGCAGGAGATCATCGATGAACTATCAAGCGCTGTGTAACATCAGCTCTGTCAGTTGTTGCTGCTGATAGAATGGCCTGGTAATCTATAAAAATGTCTATTACGGAAAGTTAGGTCAAGTTGTTTATCCTGACAGGGTAGTTTACTAAAGCATTACTAGAAAAGAAATAGCTTAACACAGCTTAAAAATCGTCGTATATATTTCAAAATTGGTGTTTTGTGCCAAATCATTTTTACACAGTTTTTTTTGGAAGTGTGTTTATTTCACACCAAAGAGATAGCGAGGTCTTTTTGAAGTTTCAGTAATTATGCCAGTAAGCCATATATTTTTACATTTACCATCGTGGCTGGTTGCTTGGAATTAACCTTGTTAAAATATGTAAGGCCTGCGAAAAGATAGCTGAGACGTCATTTCGTTATCCTAAGCTTGCTTTCTATAGTTTTTTTTTATTGTTAACATATTTTGCAGTTGGTTACTTAGAACATATTTTTACATTAATTCTGACGAAAGTCGTACACACGAAATAGATAATGGGAAGTTTTAGGATATAAAATTAAATCTTGTATGGTAGGACCATTTTAGCCTTCTTGAAGTAGAGTTATCTATCCAATGATTTAGCTTACTCATAGAATTGAATTTGCCTAAATTCATGTACTTACTTATAAAGGGAGGGATACAATCTCATAAGGGCGGACAGGTCCGGAAGCCAACGAGGAGGTGGGACCGCTATTTATTTTATCACTGAGTTAATGGGCCACCAAAGGCTCGACCTCAGCTTAAACGAACTCGAGGCAGTTGGCTGGAATTTCGATTTCCAGGCAACAGTAAAACTCTGATTGGTTCTATCTATCGCCCCCCTAACATCGACTTGGATGATTTTAAGACAAATCTCGAGAAAGTGCTAGAGACAATCTCATCTGAAAGAGCTCGCGCAACCTTGGTTGGCGATCTAAATGTGGACATGAAAGGGAAAAGACTCACTCCCCAAGCTAGAAGCCTTAACCAACTTTTTAATTTGTACCAGTTAAACCAACTCGTACAGGAGCCGACCCGAATAACAGAGCATGCATCTAGCTTAATTGATCTGGCCTACACCTCAACAACTCCACAACTGTGCAATAAGCGATCATTCGCTTGTCTATATAGTTCGTCGATCCAAGAAGCCGAGGACGGGATGCAAATTTATTCGGTACCGTTGCTATAAAAATAACAATCCTGAGGATTTTTATAGTGATTTGCATTCCGCCTCCCGGGAGCTAGTCGACGCTTCCTTCATTGCACATGAAGCGTGGCAATTTTAAAAAGCACTCTCACGAATATAATGGATCGACACGCACCTACTTCCACGAAAAGAGTCCGAGCTAAAACGCTTCCTTGGTTGACTGTCACATAAAGCGGCGTGATTACCATCACAATAAAGCGCTAAAAATGAAAACAACTGAACAATGGTTAACTTACAGAGCTCTCCGTAACAAACCAACTAGTCTTATCAGAGCAGCGAAGCGTGACTACTATTCAAGCCTGATTGATGAGAACAAAGGGGACTCCACCAAACTCTGGAAGTTACTGAAATCTGCCATCTCAACTGATACAAAGTGCTCAAATGTAGGATGTTTGGAAACTACCACTGGCCTTGCTCAAGAGCCGAGGAAGGTCGCACGGGGTTTTGCACATTACTTCGGCACCATAGTCGCAGAAATCAGAGGAGGCTTCATGGGCTCAACAAGAAGACTCAGTCTTTTACCCAAGGCTCGCCATGTTTTCAAACTATCTTCCATAAGAGAGGAATTTGTCAGGAAAGAATTAAAGAATATTAAATCTTCTAAATCAACCGACCTCGCTGATTTTCCCGCATGTCTCCTTACGGTTCTGGCGCGATGGCAAGACCCTTGACTGTGCTCATGAACGGGTCCCTCGCTGAAGGCTCAAACCTGTGCATAAATCTAACTCTAGAACGAATCCAGCTAACTATAGACCGATCTCGGTCCTGCCGGTCTTCAGTAAAATCCTTGAGCGCGCAGTGCACAAGATGGTATATTACATTCTTTCAGCAACACAATTTGCTCTCTGTCTACCAGTCCGGTTCGCGTAGTCTCCACTCCACCAGCACGTGCCTGACTGATGTCACGAGCATTGATAAGGGTCAACTCACAGGCCAAGTCTTTTTAGACCTTACTAATGCCTTTGATACTCTTCATCATAGTGTATTATTGGATAAGTTAGCATCACTAAGGTTCAGTAAGGCTGCCATACAATGGTTTAAGGCTTACTTGACAGAAAGGACACAAAGCGTTGTAGTGAATAGATCAACATCTGATCCCCAATCCATTTCGTTTAGTGACCCGTCATGCTGGATCCATACCTCTCGAGGAATGATAACCTGAGATCAGGCTCTATTTTCGTTTCGCTTTTAAAATTACATTCCGGCGGGCAAGGCGAAACGAAAAGAGAGCCTGATACAAACCTTCTACGAGACGTCTGCCGCCGCACTTTTTTGATTGATTGACATTTGCCGAATCAGCCAACCAAAATTACTTCCGTTGCTTAACTTCTAGCGAAATCAAGGGAGATCTCGAAACTTATTTCTGTTGGCGTAGAGGGTAAAAAGTTTTCAAAAAAACGGCGACACGAGGAGTCTACAAGTTTTGTTATTTTGGCTGGGCGCGCTCGAATTTAAAATGCTGAAATTTCTATTTTTCTGTTGCCTTAATATTTTCCTCGGCAATTTTCTCCGATTTTCAGTACATAAATTTTTAAAAACAAAAGCAAACAGCCAACGAGCAAGGACACCAGTTTTTCTGGTTTATATTTTACAAAAAGCGAAGGCAAACAACCAGTCTGTTATAATAATGCCTACAAAAATTCCTTGAACAGCGATGCGATGTTTTTCGTCAAATACTTCACAGTTGGCGATTGAGGTCCTTTTCGCAGTGAGCCTCCGCTCGCGTACGTACCCCGTTCAGAGAAGTCATTCCCGGCTAAACTTTCAGATGAAACCAGTTTTAAGATGGACAGTATTTTGATTTGCACTCGTTTGTTGGTAAATCAAAAGGCACCTTGTTAGCCGTCAACAACTTGCAGAGAGATTCAACTCCGCGATACACTCACATTTGTTTCGTAAATAAAGATCATAAAGCAAATCCTGAGAAGATATGAACAACCATATGAATTTTCTTAATTTCCATGGCACATATTAAGGCATATTTTCCTACCATAAGACCATAAAACAATAAAAAAGACAGCAAAATCGATCCTTCTCTCCGCCGACGACGGATCATTCACGAAAACAACCACGCGAGGAATAAGCGCTTTCAACTTCCGGCGTTTCCGACAGCCAATCAGATCTTGTGGCATTGTTCTAACAGCCAATCAGCGTTACGGCCAAAATCTGGCCGTAACGAGCACAAACGTGAGAGAGTTTGTATCAGGTCCAATTTCAGCGGTAGCCGTTAGAGAGAATGTATGAGAACCGCTAAAATTGGGCCTGATCTCATGTTAGAGGAATGGCCACATAGACTACATCGGGCGCAAAATATCGGCAACGTTCGGCATGCTTCGTAAAGTGCGCAAGGTCATTCCGCGCGAGTAGGGTTTAACACTTTATAACGCCATGATACTTCCTGTATTCAACTATTGTGTTGTCGTATAGGACTCCTGCAGTAAGACTGACCGAGTGTACTTGGATAAGCTGCATAGGCGTGCCGCCAGTATTATTGAAGGCTACTCATTCTCACAATCGCAGATATCTTATATTCTTTCGGTTGGCCTACGCTCCAGTCCCGCCGGGACTATCTAAAGCGTATGCTAGTGTTTAAGAGCCTTCATGGCCTGGGCCCGGTTGCATAAAACTTACACTTAAGTGCCCACTTAAGTATGTCACTTACGAATCCGTTATGGGTACACTTACGGGTGTTGCATGGAACACACTTAGCACTCTCGTAAGTTTCTGTTTTACGAGGTAACTTACGGGCTCACTTAAGGGCACACGTAACTTTGTTATAGTACTTTAAATTATTCATTTGACTCACTCTATTTTTTTAAATTAAGTTAACCATCGGTGAGTGTAAAGAAAGTGTCAGGTCGTTTCGAACACCTTTTTAAGCCTCTCATTCAAATAAAGTTTTCATGAAATCGTTATTTTACTTCAATATCCATTGGAAATGTTTGTTGTTCTTCTTTTTTCTTAACGACGGCTTTAAATTGTACATCAGAGGTTAACAAAGCGCATTAGAACGGAATTACGTAAAGAAAATACAATTTTTTTCACTTCTCAGTAAAAGATCTCGTTAACTTTAGTAAAAACAATAAGGATACGGGACCTACATAGGTCCCGTAAATTTACGTGCTAATTTTCCCGTGAAAAGGGTTTTATGCAACACCCGCAATTTCTGTTGCATAAATGACACTTAAGTGGATACTTACGAAAATCGTAAGAGCAGCCACTTAAGTGAAATCCCTAAGTGGACCACGTAAGTGAGTTAATGCAACTGACTTAAGTTACGAATACACGTACGTATACCCGTAACTGTTACGGGCGTTTTATGCAACCGGGCCCAGGTTCCAGCATATGTACTTAATGAATTTAGCCACGCGCGCGATTTCCATTCATATAACACGCGCCATAGAGATTTGCTGCGTCTGTCGCTAGCTCGTACAGGGCTCCTTCAGTTTCAGCGGAGCCAAGATCTGGAACACGCTTCCTCTGGCCCTGAGGAGCGAGCATGATTTAAATAAGTTTGGGTTTGGCCTAAAAAGACACTTTAGATCCCAGCCAAACTGGGCCTCCAATACTTTCGCTGTACTTAGTTGTTCCAATTTTTTTTATCTGTTATTGTTTTTTGTGCTGTTTTTTTCTTTTCATCAGGGCCCCATTCAAACCAGCCTCGCTGAACCCGGCACCCCTGAATAAATATTGTTCAAAATCAAGAGAGGATAAAGGGGACAGAGAAGGCATCCCCCATACACACCCTATTCCACAGGTAATTCGTCTCGAGTTATTTTTAAGACCACAGATCCCAAGGGGGATTAGACAACAGCCAATCACATAGCGCGAATGCGTTCCGCGTGGATGACCCACCCTCAGAGCCAAGCGTCCTTCATGAATTGACGCAGAACAAAATGGCGGAAGACGCGGAGAGCGATATTGCTATTCGTTTTGTCGACGTAAACGACTACAGAGAGATTTCTGCTAAGGTGGTGTCAGCGAAACGGAAATTAAAAAAGAATCGCCCTTCCTCTCTTTTATAGAGCTAACAGTACAGCAGGGAAATCCTTAACACACTGAATATTCTCTCAGGATCATTTATAATTTACAGTTTGAAGAGAGCAATTCTGGTTTGATATTTATTCTTTTATTAGTCTTTTATTATGCAACAAAAACAACACTTAGCGTCCTACTTGCTTTATCGTACAAACGACCGACCTCAATAGACCAGCGAAATTTCTCATTTTATTGAAGCACTGAGGTTACCAAAACTTCGAGTTAAACAGATTTCACAGGTTGTCAAAGAGTCTAGCGATTCCCTTTTCCCAGGTGAGCGCCGAGTCATTTTGCGTCAATATTCAGGAATGCTCTCGATCTCTTTAAGCTTTCATTTCCTTTCGCCCGACATGTTTTGCACGGCGTTTAGTCATGCGAAACCTCCACGAAACATCCACACAGCGCGCGAGGTAACTTTATCCCGATTCTAAAAATAACTCGAGACGAATTACCTATGGAATAGGGTGTGTATGGGGGATGCCTTCTCTGTCCCCTTTATCCTCTCTTGTCAAAATAAAATAAATAAGAATGAAGAAGGCCATAAGCCATGGAATTCGAGTGAAGAAGCAACAAATCCATCAAGCAATATGTTGCGTATTCTTGCTTTCATTCCTTTCCGCGCGTTTTCGTCAAAAATTAAGCTATTTCGTCTTCAAATATGAACGCCATTTTTCATAGTCTACTCGTGAATTAATATGTTGGCCGCCTCGCCTGGAAATGACGTTGCCCCATGAACGCATTTTTTTATAGTTTACTCGCGAATAAACATCTTGGCCGCCACGCCTGGAAATGAAGTTGATCGATGGTCTATTACCCATACAACCTCGTTTCCAATCAGTATACCACTGATCAACCTCATTTCCAAGTCAATACATGTATATCACCGTACCGATGGTAAATTGCTCGCGTCTTCCAAATTTAGTCAGCACTGGCTGGTTATTTAAGCAATAGACCATACTTTGTATGGGTTTACCGGCGTGATAACCCACGCGGGATGTTGGGAGGACACGACAAAAGATATTGACATATGCATACATTGACATATATTACAACTGTTCATTTTGTTCATAATGAACGCTAGAGTCGATTTTTCCGATTTCGCGATGAATTAATCTCTATATGTGCTACCAGCAATTTTTATTCCAAAACATCTAATTCCATAATGTTATTTTCAAAAATACTTCGATTCTGTTTGCAAAAAAAGGAACGAATTAGGGCCATAAAAAGGGTCTCTTTTGTTAATGAACGATTTTTGTCTTCAACCGCGTCAAAGCTTGAAGGCGCGCCTCGGCGGCACACGTCTACCAAAACGTCCCTTGAGTACCTCACAGAACAGAGGGTCTTAATGGGGTGGTAGCTTTGACGATTGGCGGTTAATTTTTACCAATTTTGATGGGTGACAGCCAAATTTTGAAATAAAAAATAAATAAATAAATAAATAGATAAATAAGTAATGATTTGGAGATAGCACGTCCACAAAGTGGTTCTTCGTCTGGCCTGATTCCTAGTCGAATTGGAATTTGGAAATGTTGGTTTTTGAGGAGGGGGGAAAACCGGAGTACACAGAGAAAAACCTCTCGGAGCAAGCAAAGGAGAGAACCAACAACAAACTCAAACCACCTATGGCGTCGAC